TATTTTATAAAAAAAACACAAAGAGCACCTAATGCTCGGGAGCTGATTTGATCGATGCGTAATTAGCCTAGGCGTGTGCGTACAATTGTCTTAAGAATGTATTAATGCTGTTTTTTAATTCCCGGAGGGGAGGAGCTGCTTCTTTTTCCTTTTTTGTTTGTTGTTTTGAGGTTCTGCCTCGATTGTCCCAGGCTCCCGTGGTTTCTGAGAACCCTTTGAGCTTACGTGTCGTCTCCATTCATTTCCCACAGGACAACCTCAGCGAACTCAAGGATTCCGCAGTTAAGGTTTGAGTCTTTCTGGCCCCCCTCCCCTCCCTTTCAACTCTGCGCCCTCCGGTTTTTAACCATTGCTTTTGCAGTGATGGCGAGGTCCACCAAAGCTTTGGCGAAGGAGCGCAGCGCAGCTTGGCCAGGTTGTAAGTGGCGTCCGGTTGCGGCAGGCAGCGGTTGCGTTCTTTCGGCCCTGCAGGCGGTTTTTTAACGGTCTGTTCCAGAGACCTGGCAGTTCTTTACAGTGAAGACTTTCTACAACTTACAGCCGTTCCTTAGTGATCGTTGGAAGCTACGGCGGCAATGAAAAACATGACGTGACAATTGGAAACTTACCAAGGATGGAAGCATCCCAGAACTTAAGGAGAAATTTCCTGACAGTGAGAACAATGAATCAGTGGAACAGAAGTTGCCTCCAGAAGTTGTGAATGCCCCAACACTGGAAGTCTTGGATGACCACTTGTCTGAAGTGGTGTAGGGTTTCCTGCCTAGGCAGGGGGTTGGATTAGAAGACCTCCAAGGTTCCTTCCAAGTCTGTTCTGTTATTTTTCACACTTAACAATCATTGGAGCATCTCCATAGTGACATGATCAAAATTCATCCACTGGACAAACAACTCATATTTATGCTTGTTGCAATGTCCCGGTATGTGTGTATGTGTCATGTGATCATCTTTTGGTCCTCTAGTCCAACCTCCTGCTCAAGCAGGAGACTCCATACCATTTCAAACAAGTGGCTGTCCAGTCACTTCTTAAAAGCCTCCAGTGATGGAGCACCCACAACTTCTGGTGGCAAGCTGTTCCACTGGTTGATTGTTCTTACTGTTAGGAAGTTTCTTTTTAATCCCAGGTTGCTTTTCTCTTTGATTAGTTTCCATCCGTCGCTGCTGGTCCTGCCTTCAGGTGCTTTAGAAAATAGTTTGACGCCCTCTTCTTTGTGGCAGCCTCTCAAATATTGGAACACAGCTATCATGTCGCCCCCTAGTCCTCCTTTTCTCTGGACTAGACATACCCAAGGAGAACATCTGCCACCCACAACAGGCTCTTTTCCTTAGCGGCAGCAGCTCACTGGTAGATGGCGTGAGCTAGTAGAAGGCACAGTCCACTGCAGTGTTGCTCAACCATAGGCATTTTAAGATATGTGGACTTCAATTCCCAGAATTCTCCAGCCAGCAAGACCCAGGAGCATCATTGATCACAGAGGGCAATATATCTGAATTTCTGCAGCGTGACATGTGACCAGGGGTGAAATGCTACCGGTTTGCCTGAATCGGTAGTTAAAAAAAAAAAGCGCTACCGGTTCGGGCGAACAGGTAGTTCTGACGATCAGCTGTGTGACAATCAGCTGTGCTGAGCGATTTAGAAATCACGGGGCACAGCTGATTGTTGCACAGCTGATCGCCGGAACTACCGCTTTGCCTGAACTGGTAGCATTTTTTTTTACTACCGGTTTGGTTCAAACTATCAGCTGTGCCGAGCAATTTAGGAATCATGCCGCACAGCTGATTGTCACACAGCTGATCGTTGGAACTACCAGTTTGTCTGAACCGGTAGCATTTTTTTTTTACTACGGGTTTGGTTCCAACAATCAGCTGTGCCGAGCAATTTAGAAATGCTGCACAGCTGATTGTCACACAGCTGATCGTTGGAACTACTGGTTTGCCTGAACCGGTAGCATTTTTTTTTACTACCAGTTTGGTTCCAACAATCAGCTGTGCCGAGCAATTTAGAAATGCTGCACAGCTGATTGTCACACAGCTGATCGTTGGAACTACCGTTTTGCCTGAACCGGTAGCATTTTTTTTACTACCAGTTTGGTTCCAACAATCAGCTGTGGTGAGCAATTTAGAAATCACGGGGCACAGCTGATTGTTGCACAGCTGATCGTTGCACAGCTGATCGGTGGAACTACCGGTTCACCCAAACCGGTAGCATTTTTTACTACTTATTTGGTTGAACCGACGATCAGTGCCTGCGGTGCGCATGCGTGCAAAGTGAACCAGTAGCAGACTTCAGAGCATTTCACCCCTGCATGGAACCCATTTTTTTCATGTTTAAGATACTACAAGGGAGGGAATGTAGAGCTTAGCTTTCTGTTTCCATTCCTAACCCTGATGTCTCCTGCAATGCCAAAAAAACTGGGCTCCAATGAGCCAGCCAGTCCCAGTGGCTTCTTAGCATGTGATGTTGTATGACCTTCCAGAATCTGCCCTCTCGGAATCTACCTTCTGTGACTGAGAAAGGAATCGTTGCTCCTTCCAACCTCAGCAGCTGTTTCCATAATTATGGCCAAAGGCAGGATTTGCAATTTCATTAGGAAGCATTGTTTGGTGATGGATCTGTCTAAAGTTCCATTGCCTTTCCACTCTACATGAAAACAAACCAGAAGGAAAAAATAGTTGCCCTGGGAACCAATGTGGCTAGAAACAAAGCTGAAGAGGATTGTGACCCAAATGAGCTGCTGTGGCTACTTGTTTAAAGAACCCACAGCTCAATATTTAGAACATGACTGAATTCCTCTTTTCATCCTCGGTTTTTTTCTCTTATCACAGACTTAGGAAATTTAAAGCACCTTCAAAGCAATCTCAGTGCTCTTTTGAGAGGGGATTTTTATTGTCGTGGTTAAAAAAAATACGAATTTCTAGGTTGCGTTTTGTAATTTTTCACTATATTTCCAGCATGATATGAGACAATCAACCCAAGAGAGAGAGAGAGAGAGAAATAGGCCAGCATTTTGGTGCAAGATGGAGTGAATTGCCTCTGGAAGCGATGTAGTAATTTTTTGATCTTGCTTTGACTTTAACAGCACTACATTAACCACGCCGCTCCGGCATTGTCCAAAAGTAAGGAGAGAGAAGTAGACAAGAAAGATTTGGACAAATCAAGGGAAAGATCCCGAGAAAGAGAAAAGAAAGATGAAAAGGAAAGGAAAGACCGAAAAAGGGTTGGTGATTTCTGCATACTCGTGACACTGAATGCTTAAGTTAACCCGTTGTCTTCAGCCTTTTTAAATAAATAAATAAATAATTCTTTGTTGGAACTGTCGTAGGACAGGCGTGTCAAACTCGATTTCATTGAGGACTGCATCAGATGATTGTGTTTGACCTCGGGGGCGTGGCCAGCGTCATTCGTGTCAGTGGCACCTGTGGTGGCCTGGGCAGGGCTCGGGGTTGCAACAACTTCCTGCAGCCCTCTGCCAGCTAAAACGGAGCTTGCGGGGGGCTGCACGCATCTCCCCCCAGACCCTGCTTTCAGCCGTGATGGCCTGGACCCCTCTGCCAACAAAAATAGAGCTGTGGAGGGACACAGGTGTTCCCCCTCATGCTCCCAGACACCCTTTTCAGCTGTGATATCCTTTTGGAGCCCTCTGCCAGCAAAAATGGAACTCCAATTTCACTGGCAGAAGTACTGTGGGGCCGGTCCTTTACTGTTTCCGGGGTGGCCCCACGGGCCAGATCTAAGCACTCCGTGGGCCGGATCTGGCCTGCGGGCCTTGAGTTTGACACCCCTGGTTTATAGAAGCTTATCATTAAAAAGAACCAAGGAGGAAGAAAGCCACAGCTTACAACAGCTCAGATCATTTAAGCCTAATATTTACAAACTGGTGTTTCTAAAAAAAACAACCAACCTTTGTCTTGATGATATACCCATCTAGGATCACTCGAACAATGACCGCGAAGTTCCCCAAGATTCAACCAAGCGTCGGAAAGAGGAAAACGGAACAAGTACGTCTACTCCTGCTTCTTCTTCTCCCCTTGATCATGCCTTGTTGGCTCCATGGGTGTTGTGATCCGCCGGCGGCCTGCGGAGCTGGCAGCAGAGTCAGACAGTGAGGAGGTTGGGGAGGAACAGTCCTGGGGGCTGAGGAGAGTTCAGACGAGGGCTCTGCGTCGGAGGCAGAGAGGGAGCTAGGCAGCAGCGAGGCAGAGGAACAGTTGGAGCCTGTTCCCCGGGTGCCCATGCGCAGAGCTACCAGAAGACAAGAACAACTAAGAAAGCAGGATCGACTTAGGAATAAAAGTCACACCTTGGAGGTGATTGGCCCCTCCCATAGGAAAAGAAGAAGAAGAATGAAAGGGGAGTGGGCTTTTACAGGAAACAATTTGTGCATTGGTCTGGAAAGTTCTGTTTGTGATTTTAAGAGAACCTGTGCCAAGTTTTGCCTTGCCCTGTGTTGGGAAACGAGTTATTTGGCGGCTCTCCAAGCGAGATAAGGTTCGTGTGGATAAATATTCCTCGGAAAGACTGCTTGCTCAGCATGGCTGACTGTGAATGAAAGGAATTCACAGTCAT